ATATACTTGGCATCATCCTCTCTACTTGGGACGTGTTTGTCACCAGCCACTGTCAGGCGAAGGACAGGCTGACAAGTCCTTCTAGCCACTGCAGGACACTGAGGAACAGTCACCTCGTTGTTACCGTTACTATCAGCCCACCAGTTCCTAAGCTCCCTCCATGTGCCTAGCATTTGTTAAATTCTTTCCTGATGTTGCAGGAAAGAGGGTCCTTAGCTTTATACAGGAAAGAATTTAGGGGTGATCCAGGTAAAAAAGCAAAAGTAGTGAATTGTGAGGTAGTCCACTCCACAGGCAGAGAAGAGGCTGCCCTTAGGCAAGGGAGCCCCAGCAGTGCCTTTGGAAGCAGTTTTTATTAGTCAGGCTTTTTAATATGGAAATAAGGGGGAGGAATATGCTTTTTCTTTTTTTTAAGATTTTTATTGGGGAATTGGGGGAAGGGGAACAGACAAGTTCCTTTTGTTCTTCAGTCTAGTTGTGGAGGACATTGTTTCACTGGCCCAAGTTGGCATCATCATTGAGCTCTTCCTGGGTGAGGCAGATTAGTCACCGGCTTCCGGACAGCCACTCACTGCGGCTGCTGGCTACACACGGTAGCCCATGGCAACCCACTGCCACAGGGGCTGCAGCCTATGCCGTCGCCGACGACTCACAGCAGCCCAGCTCCAGGTTGAGCTGTTGTTCAGCATCTTAGCTGTACAGGGCAGTGTCACTGGCCCTCATATGTGGGATCCGAACCGGGGCCCTCTGGCGTCCCAAGCCAGCTCTTAACCATCGTGCCACTCGGCCGGCCCAGGAATATTCTTATTAGGTCTAGGAAGGGGTCAGTTTTCCCGTGGATTTGGGATACACCCCTTTTTTGTCCTGGTTCTCTCTAGAAGCTAGGGAGAGTGTCATTTAGTACGGAGATGTATTGCAATGACCGTATAATGTTATACGTATAATTACTTGGAGGTGAATCTCTTCACCCTCTTGGTCTTGGCTGGTTCTGGCTGGTTTCCTCGTCTCATCTTGATGTACTGCTCCTCTGTCTGTGGCTGGTGGCTAGTGGTTTTTCTTGGAGGCCCTGCCGCCACCTGATCTTACCTACATCTCACAAAGTGGGCAGAGTAGGAAACTGAGGCCCATGTTGTACTTGACTGCTGGATAATTTGGGCTGGAAAACACTAACCTAGGTCTTTGGGAGTGGCACATGATTTTCTGTCCCCTGTATATAAAACTATACTGCTCATCAAAGATAAGGGGCGCATAATCATTGACTTAATTTATTGTCTACTTGGGAAGAGAAGACACATGCACATAAATTCAAGGGCTAATTAACTACAGGACAACAGATGCGAAAAGGTGGTTATGACAAAATGCCAAACGAATGGCAAAGATGTAGGAACTATAAGATCTTATTAATGTTTATTTATTCAAATTGCAGGTGTCATCAAAAGATGGGCAAGATACATTTCATACATTTGCAAGTAAATGTGTTACCTAGAGCCCACGCTTAGACTAACAATAATGAATTCTGAGTATCTTCAGGTCAAATGTAACTCAAAACTGTTTTATACTTTCAGTATTTCTTCAAATAGGATTATCTTTTTCTAGAAGCGATCACAAGGCCTAAGAAGATTTTCAACAATGGAAAGGATTTCTTTGTTTTTTGTTGTTTTGGAAAGGATTTCTTTGTTTTTTGTTGTTTTGGAAAGGATTTTTTCCCTTCCTTGTAATGAACAGATTAAAAGCTTAATCCCAAGGTCTGTCTCTATGTCCAAATATAATTGTGGTGTGAGTGGCCAAGTGGGCTTTTTAATATACACTCAAGAACTGTAAAACATTTTGGGGAGAAAAACAAAATCTTAAAAGTGAACAAAAGAGGTCACTTTCAGCAAAATTTATACCCTGGAAGGGAGGCCCCCAAATGGGTACTTCTTAATATCAGGCTCCTAGGAAAATACTGATTTTAATGCAGGCCACTCAAGGCCAAGATTGCCTTGTGGCAATTTTCGGAAGGGTGTCTACCTCCATGGTCTTTGTTACTGACCTCGCAGGCACATGCAAAGATCATCATGAATCTTTTGTCCCAACAATGTGTCGACAAAAAGCATCCAGCCTAAGAGAAAGCTTATAAATTTATTTGAGCCAAACTGATGACAATTGCCAGGAAGCAAAATCTCAACAGATTGAGAAAATGCTCCACGAAATGGCAGTTTGCAGCTTATTTTATACATAAAATCAAAGGAGGAAGGTTACATGAAATCCATTGGTGGTAGATTAAGAGGGTGGGAGAAAGCAAAGCAGAGAAATCTCTGGGATTTGATAAAAGTACTGTAAATTGGAGACTTTTACATAGGTGGGTTCAGGATAGCTAACAGTTAGCCTTTTACAGCACATAGAGATGGTAATCAGGAGACAAGCATAATAATGAGGAATTTTGCAATTTCCAGCTTTGGTCCGGAAAAAGGATGACAGACATTCCAAAAACGTTATTTTAGGTGCAAAAACACAACAGACAGGCCCACTGAAAAGGCACAGACTAACTTTATGAAGGAAGCTAAAATATGACTTCCCGCCATGGCCCACTTAGTTATGAGATTTTTATATGCTCACGCCATCTTTTGTGGTTATTTTCAGTCTCCTTAGCTTGTCAAGTTAATATGTGGCCCTTTTTCTGTCCACAAATGCTAGGCTCAATTTTCAGGTCAGCAAGAACTGTTAAAGAAAAATGATCCATGACATTTGTTAAAATGGTCACATTGCCTCTTCCGTCTCAAATTCCTCTCTGCTTCTTTCTTATAAGGACACTTGAGATTGCACCCAGGGCCACAAGATAATCTCAAGATTCTTAATTCAATCACATCATCACATCTAAAGTCTCCTTTGCCATATAAGGTGACATTCACAGGTTCCAGGGATTAGGACTTAGATATCTTTGGGGACCATTATTCAGTCTACCACACAAGCTAATAAAAAAAAATCAAAAGGAACACAGAAACCTATCATTAAGAGAAAGGCCCATGGAACCCCACTGTCCCTAGAGATCATCACAGGAAATAGTTTGGGGCATATTTTTCTAGATTTCTTTTCATGCATATACTAACAAATGTATTTATTTTATTTCCTTTCCTTTAAAAAAAAAGGGATAACTTTCTACACAACCCAGCAAATTGTCTCTTTCATTTCATAATGTATCTTCGCAGCAAGCTCTTTAAGAGTGAAAGGGATTTACTTTCATGCTGCTGTCTTCTTTGATATAAAAATAGCAACTTTCCAGTAAAGCAAGAGACTTAAAAAAAAATTCCATTTGCAATAATCTCCTAGAAATGTCAATGTTAGCTTGAATTCGTAAGGGGAATGAAATTTTGAACCAAAATAAGAATAGAGGCTACTTAAAATTTAGTATTTTGGGTAAATTAAAGAAAGGGCACTCTAGTTATATATGATTGCAACACAATGTACTGAAGGTTAAATTACTTGATATGTGGCAAGTTAATGTGATAGTCAATTTTTTTTTTATGGTATCAGTTTAAATTAAGCATCCGTTTTAGCGGTAGAGAGATTAGGAGACCTGAAGTGGAATACTGATTCTACCATTAACTAGTTGTGTGACCTTAGGCAAATTGTATTCAATCTCTGGGCCTCAGTGTCCTCACCTTTGAAGTAAGAGGTTTGGACTGGAAATGGTCTAAACTCCTAATGATCTTCCATTTTGCAATTTGGGAAGGGCACTATTCTAGTAGGCTAGATACCCCTTTTAAATACCAAACCTTTTACTAATTGCTATGATGTTGAGCTAGACTAGAGTGTTCTCAAGATCCTTTTTCTAACTTTCACATTCTAAGATAGTGAGTCTCAAGCTTCAGTGTGCCTAAGAACCCTCAGGAGATGTTAAAATACACTGAATCAGCAGGTCTGGGGTGGGGCCTGAAATTCTACATTTTTAGCAAATTCCCAGGTAAGATTGATGCTGGTCTGGAGACGCACTTTGAATAACAATGCATTTGGATTTTGAAATGTCAGGGATCTTTGTTGACAACTTGGAAACTGGTGGAAGAACTTACTGTGTGTCCCTTGGGTGGACTGCTGGTCTGGGGTTACCTGGTGCTGTAGGGGTGTGCGCCTTTGCTTGTCTTTTATTCAGTTCTGTAAGAGTAGAAATTAAGGTGTGGAGTATGTTTAGTAAATGGGATGAATTTTGTTTAATAGAGGTACAATTGATTTCAGCCCTGTAGGAAAAGATAGCTTCCAAACATTACTGTTTCTTTTCCTATAGGATTATCAACCACTTTTGCACAATTGGCAAATTCTTTTCAGTATTCTTGATTGCCCATATTTGTACGCGTTCTGAAAAGTCTCCTTTAACTAGGTTTTACCTTTTTTGAAAATTATACTGTTAACATCACTGGTCATTAGCAATTCATTCATTAATTTATTTATAGCAAGAAACGCTTGCGGGGCGGGGGTGGGATGGGGTTAAAGGGTGGGAAACATAAACTCCTCTAGGAAAGTGGGTGGTCAGGCATCACGCTTTCCTGACTTCCAGCCCATGTGTTAGGTGAGGAAAACACACTTTACTTCTAATCTTAGCCAAGTGATGAATTCCCCTCCCAGGGCTAGATCACAAAATATGGTGGAAGAAGACGCCTTAACCATTAAGTATCAAGAGGTTGAGAGACCTGCCCAAGGCCAGTAGGAAGCTGTAGCTACTCTGGGATTCGAACTCTGACCTCAGGACTCCCCCAGAGCTCTATACACCATCTGCCGCCTAGTTTAATTTGAAGCCCCTAAACTGATGGCTCGCATCCGTAGACAATTGTAAGAATTTGACACCCCTAGGTGTCTGGAGTCTTCGTGACGCCAGACGCGGGGTAGAGGACTGGGCCAAAAGGCAGGACTTGAGGAAGGGGGCGGTGCCCGGGACAGGGGGGCGGAGCCCGGAGCCGCCGCGCAGACCGCCCCGCCCGGCATCGAGGCGCCTCCCCGGGCTCCGCCTCCGCGTATCTGTGTCCGTGGCGGTCGCTATCCATAAAGTTGTTGTTCTGCCAACATGGCGGCGCCCATGGTGACTGATCGGGCCGTGTTTGCCTAAGGTAGGAACCGAGGCGTTAAGGAGCCGCAGGCCAGAGCCTGTCATCAGGTTAACCCCTGACCCGGGCTCCGCGGAACGAGAGACGAGGCTCAGTCTCCTCTCCCCCGGATCGGGAGGTTACAACTTGCTGGGCGCAGGAAGGAAAGGTGTGGACTGAGTTCGGTGGTCTCGGAGCCGTGCCGTTTACGAACTGAAACAGTCTCTTAGATCCGGGTCTTGAGACGCTTGGAGCCGTAGACCCCGTTGATAGCTCTGAGCCCCTCTCCAGAAAAACACACGTGTACACATAGGTTTGTACTCAAGTTCCACTTCCCCATCCTTACCTTTGGTCCCTGGATCTTTGCTTCCTGGGCTAGGGGTTTGGACTTTGTTTAAAAGCCATCTAGTGCATCTGTGTGGCCCACAGGTCATGGCCACAGCATTTAAGGGCTCGAAGGGCCTCAGAGACCATTTGGGTTTACCCCTCATCTTAAGGAAAAGCTGAGAATCCAGACAGGAAATAATTCGTCTGAGATCATACAGGGAATTTTAGTAGTTGCAAAAGCCACGATCTGTTTTGTTTTTTTTTTTTGTCACAAAACTTGGTTCTTTTAAGGTTATATTTCCCAGGTACATTCTCTTACACTTTCTTTTGGGCGCACCAAATACCTTCACGTGCTTCTCCATATGTTCTGTTTCTTCGCCTGACTTCTAGGTTTCTCTGTCCATACATGATTGTCAATTTGGGTACAGTGAGGTCCCTCCCTCAGTGATAACATGCCACGACCTCCACCATTCTCAAAAAACCTTAAGCCCCAAGTGAGGTTGAGGTCAGGGCTGACTCTAAAGAGAAGTGCAGTAGTGGGGATTGATGCTTTGGAAGGATCAGGTAATACGGTGGAAGAAGACAAGATTCCAAACATCTAGGAAAGGAACTGGAGAAGACAGAGCTGAGGAAGAAAAGGGCCAAGTTGATAATAAATACAAGACACGTGCCACACCTTTTATATTCATCCTATGGGCATAGGCCTCTAATAAAATGGCTGCTCCTTGTTACCAGGAAGAGGCAGTACCCATGGGGGCTTTGGTTGTGGAGTGGGCTAGCATAGGGCCTGGGAAGTAAAGGACAGGAACGGAACTGAGCTCCAGGAAGGTCTGAAATAAATAATAGCCCTCGGTACACCATATACTGAGTCCTACTGAGTCTTGGGAACCCTCTAACACAAAGAGTGTGAACTTTTCTTAAAGGGTCTTGGCACATATTACTAGATTGCAACCCAGAGAGGTGGAATCAGTTTACATTCCCACCAGCAGCGTATAAAAATATACATTTCTTTTGATTTAACAGGTTTTTGCCAATCGGATAAGTGAAATATTTAATTGTTGTTTTAATTTGCATTTTTTGATTAGTCGTAAGTTGATCTTTTTCATATATTTATTAGCCATTTGTGTTTTCTCTTCCTTTTTTTCTTTGCCCATTTTAAAATTAAGTTTTTTAGTGTTTCTCTTCTGATACGTAAACTCTTTATAGAGTAGGATAACCTTTTGTTGTTGCAGTTTTGGCAGTTTCAGCTTAATGTTTGCTTTCTAATTTTGTTCATGGTGTTTTTGATATACAGATGTTTGACATTTAGAGAGCGATTATTAATATTTTCCTTTCCAAATTCTTCCACTGCATTTATTCTCAGGACAAAACATCCTGCACCTTGTAAAGAATTATTAAGTATTCATCTATATTTTTGCCTTGTTTTGTGGTATTAAAAAAATTCTTTATGTGGGATTTACTATGGTTTATGGTTTGAGGTGGGGCTCTAATTTGAATTTTATCCCCATTCACTGAATAATCTATCACTTTCTAATCATTATACTTGTTCTTTTTTCTTTATGAACTTTAAGTTCTTTTAAATACCCAGATCTGTTTCAGGATTCTCTAGTCTATACCATTGGTTTGTGTAAAGGAAAGGTTATTAGTGACCCAGGTTTTGTGCAAACATTTTTAGAAAGCTTGTTCTTGTTGTATAGACAGGGAATGTTGTTATGCGTTGTTTATAATTTGGTGCATAGTATAAGTAAGTTATAGAAACAGGATTAGAACTTTAAGTGCAAGAATAACCTTTATATTGCTCATATTGGTGATCTGTATGCATTCTTAGGTTTTCATTTGTCATAATGGCTAATCATCATTGAAACCAAAAACTTGTGAGACTGCAGTTCAGGTCAGTTTGTATGTTTATCATTTTGTTGTTTCCCATTGTTTATATTTGAGAGGATAGTCCAAAACACTCTACTTATATGTTCTTAGGAAATGTAGTCCAGGAGAGAAATAGCAGGCATCTTTCTGTGTGCCCTTTGCTAAACTGGCATTCTTTGGCTTACAAAGATATGGAAACACTGACTTAGCAAGAGAGCCATGAAATCCATGACCCTTGTAGATAGCTCTAATTAAGCCGAAACTCAACTTCTAAAAAAAAATGCAATTGCCTTAATTGTACAGTGTCTATATATTAGGTTGGTCATATGGAATTGCTGCTATTCAACTGATTTTACATAGTTCACCATTGTAACTATAGTCATATCTACTCACTTTAAAATAGCCAAGCCCAATGTATAAGGAGTTGGTTTTTTTTGGTTTTTTTGTTTTTGTCTGTTTCTGATTCCACCCCTAAAGAAGCAAGAGGTGTTAAATACAGTGAGAATTGGTATACCAAGAGTTGGTATGACAGACCAACTTGTAAACTTATAAAATGCCAACACTGTGATGCCATTTTATGTGAGTGTGAAATTCACTTATATAAGCCTGTAATGAACCCTCTTGGCAACGTTTGTGACCCAGTACCGTTGTGAAACAAGCCAAACCCTAGTAGATACGGAAAGCATTTTGAGAGAATCGAAGAACTAACATCAGCTTAGCGTGCCAGGCCCCTCCTATATTTCTGTCTTGGTTTTGATAGATCTGTTATGAAAACTGTGGCACTTTTCTAATGCTGTTATGCAGGAAGACAGAGTTTTGGCCATTTGTTCATAAACCTTAACTATTTGATGACCCATCGCCTCCACCTTTTTAATAGTGATACAGCATGAAACTTCTTCCATGGGGTCATTTCTGGAATTCACCTTTGGAGGAAACCAGTGAAACATTCAAGTTGAATTTTGACTCATAGCTGGATATCCTGGGAGGCCCCGATCTATGGGCTGTATTCCAAAAAACCATAGCACTCGCCATTGTTAGACATATATATTTATTTGTGTTGTTTCTTACCTGCTTTTCTCTACTAGTATTTAAGTGCTGTGAAAGAAGGGACTTTGTTTTTGTATCCCCAGTGCCTTGAACTGTGTGGACCTGGTGGTACTCAGTCTATATTTGGTAAATGAATGAAGAACTAAATGAATAAGCAGTCTTCTAAATAGTGGGTATTTCCTGGTTCAGCCTACTGCCTATATTTAATTCATAATATGTATGAGAAATGCTACTAATCGCTCAGGTCCCCGGTCCTCCTGGGAGGCCTGTGTTCAGATCCCTTCTGATATTTGAGCCTAAGGCCAAGCTGTATGCCTGGAGCTCTTCTGAAGCCTGGACTATAGGGAGTGAATGAAGCCTGCTGGACAGGCCCTGGGCTGATCTGAAGGGAAGGGGGCGGGGCTCTGCTCCCCGCATGCAGCCTGTGAGGTTGTGGCAGGAGCTGGCCCCCGCAGTGGTTGCCATTTGTTCCTATGGGGTTTTTGTACCTTTGGTGTTTGGGGGTCACTGACCACCTTTGATATGTTTCATTAAAAAGGTTGTGCTTAGCTCAACTGAAATTCTAAAGTATTCTTTTCAGGGAAAGAAATCATCAAAAGAACAAGAGGAAAGCGTGTGAACCGGCTGGGAACATGGCTGTGCTTAGTGGCAGGACAAACTCAGGAGAGGGTTCCAGGCGGCTCACCAGTGTGCTTTCTGCCCTCTTTTTCAGGGCCTTCCCAACTTCTGAAGAATGGCGTCTGCTTGGCAGAGACTGGGTTTCTTTGCCTCACTGCTGAAAAGGCAGCTAAGTGGTGGGCCAGATGTCCTCAGCTGGGGAAGGAGGGTGATTCCAGGATGTACCAGAGGTATTTACAGCGCCACGGGACAGTGGGTGAAAGAGTATACGTTGCAGACAAGAAAGGATGTTGAGAAATGGTGGCATCAACGAATAAAAGAACAAGCCTTGAAAATTTCAGAAGCTGATGTGAGTATTTTGATAGATTCTGAGAGGGTAGAGAAGAGGGGGCCTGGACTCTCGGGTCAGACTGCCCAGTTCAAATAAGTTATTAAGTATGCGACCTTGATCCAAATGACTGAATCTCTCTTTCCTTCAGTTCTTTTATGTCAAATGGACAATGATAATAATAGTGCCCGCTGCTCCCTGGGTTGCTTGTGAAGGGTAAAAGAGAGCAAACACGGATAGTGCTTTTCAGAGTTTCCATGTGGTACGTAAGGTCCATGCAGACAGCACCACACTGGGTTTTCTGGGGCAGCTTTACCTGGGGAAGCTCATCAAGACAGCAGCCATAGCAGGTGTGGGGTCCTCTGTGGTCCATTGCATAGTGGGGCAGCACACCGGGATCTGGCAGCGTCAGGTATGAGAGATGCCTGGGCCCCTCAGTGGTGCAACTTTCATGCTGCATCATCTGAGAAGTACCTGCCCCTTCCCTGGCGTGGCTTTGGCCCCCACCCCTGCTCTGCCCCCTCGGCATCATGGTTTGGGAGGTACCAGCCCTTCCCTGGTGTGGTCTGGGGCTGGGGCTGGGGCCCAGCCTTGCAATAGCAGTTGTATGAGTTAGTGGACCCCTGGCTTCTGGTCCATATGCACCAACTCAGTTCTCTACCTGATTTGTCTTACGTACTTGGCTGGGGCCGTTTCCATGGAGCGCTCTGCTGGAGGCTGGCTCCTTCTCTGCAAGGCCAGCCTGTTGGGGATCAGGCTTGGATGCATTAACCATTACCGCTGGTAAGAAAACCTGGTCCTGAGAGAGGTGTAGTGTCTTACAAGTGCAATGATAAAAAGGAAGGTTTGACTGTAATGCATAATTATACATACAACGAAAGCTTGACTTTTACTCATTAGGAAGTGAAAAGCCTTCGTGGCAACGTGAGCAGACTAATCTGACTAAATGTATCTTGGAAACGAACGTTAGGGAGCAGTTTGATTCAGAATAAGGAGCTTAAAATTAGCTTCTTTTTTTTTCTTTTGGTTTAGATTAGTATTCAATGACTTCTAAATATTTTGAAGTTGTGGTTTTTTGATTTTGTGACATCTCATTCTTCTTAAGCATGTAGTTTTTTTGTTTGTTTTTTAACAATTAAATGGATCAAAACAAACTACGTTTCAATAGCTGGTAAACAGCTTTAGGGACATTGTGGGTGATCCCTGGTGGCACTGTCAGGGTTTGAAATAGGGAATGGAGAGGGAGCACCCGATGAGGAGTCTGGAGCCTGGACAGGAAAATCCTGGCTCTGCCCCAGAATCCGTGTGAACTTGGCAACATCATTCACCTCCTTGATCCTCTCAATCTTCGCCTTGTTTATCTTGTGGAAGTGTTTTGAAATCAAATGAGAAAATGTGACCAAACGCATTTTTAAACCGAAGTGTTATATAAATGAAAGGTACAAGAGAATAAAAATGTGTGGTGTGTCTTTGTCAGGAGCTGAGATTTGACAGGATGCTGGTGGATTTTGAAATATTTATAATGGACCTTACTGTTGTATTAGATACATTTGAAGCCCACTCGAATGAATTTCTAGAAGTTGAATATTTTGCCGTCATCATCGAGATCATCTTCAGAAAAAGAACTTCTATTTAATGAGTATTTTGCTAGGTGTTAGGCACCATCTGTCCATTTATGATCTCATTTAATCCTGAAACAGCCCTGGGAGTAAGTATTATTACCCTCATTTCGGGGGGTAAGAAAAGTGAGGCGTAGGGGGAGGTTGGGCAATTTGTCGAGATGCCCAACTCACCTGTGGCAGAGCCAGGATGCTGACCCCGACAACTTTGATCACATGTTCCCTGAGCTCATGCTCTCACCTGGACATTCTTTTGCCTCACCTTTGCTTTAGGGATTGTAAACTGAGCCCAGAAAGGCAAAGGAATTTGCCAAAGGCTTCAGGGCCAGTGGCTAAACTAGGACCAGACCTAGGGCGCCAGAATCCTACCGAGTCCTCCTCTCTGTCATCCTCCAGGCTTGGTGACAGCTTCGGAGCTGGATCTACAAAGAGGCAGAAGTTATCTTTCTCCTGATGTCCGACGCTGGCAAAAATAATACGACCCATTTATAAAGATCATCCTTTTCCCATGGCTTACAATCTTAATTTCTTTTGAAGGCTGAAATTCCTACACTTTTATGTAATTATAAAAATTTTCTTTTCTGCTTGGTTAGAACATAAACTCCCATGATTCCTTCTCTTCTTTCCACCCACAGAGGATAGAACGCATTTCATTGTCACAGAGGAAAATGACTTAATTCACACAGAAAGCAAAAGACGGGGCAGGCAATAAGCCGAGTACCTTTTCTGCAATAAATAAAAATATTCATGAATATTAAAGACTTTTGCTAGCAATACTTTTCTCCATATCTTCCATAAACTCAGTTTTGGAGTTTGGCTTAGCTACTATAAAATGAATCACTCAATTTTACATAAATTTAATCTTTGTTGGACAGGCATACAAAAAGGAGATGCTAATGAAGAAGTTACAATGTGGAAAATATTTGGGGCAAGAATGATTGTTAAATAAACAATATAAAAATAAATATATCACTGTACTAAAAACAAGGTGATTATAATAAAAGAAAAATCGTTTTAATGTAAAAACTTGAAAATGCAAAACTAGAAATACTTGATATCAAGGGTTTTCTTGTTTTTTTTTTTTTTCGGGTTCCAAAGAATTCTGTAACAGCTGTTTTCCCATGTCCCTAGAAACGAATCGAGTGGATAGTTGGCTTATGTCCGATCCTGTGCCAAGTAACGGAATGAGGTCTTGCACCTCCTTTGAGAGACTTGTTAGCAAGCTGAGAGGATTATCTGTCACTTGTCTTCATAAAGACAGTTAGTCCCAAGTCCTCACTGACTTCTGAGTCTCAGGTCCTCTCACACTCCGGAGGTTTTCCTAAGAGTTACGGATCCGCAGTTTCCAATTAAAGTGTGTGATCAATGTGCTGCTTTCCATCCATTTATCTAAGCCAATAGCAGTTGTCACTTCAGCATTTCGAGATGATTTTCTAGTTTGTGTAGAGCAGTTCCAGACTCCTTATTTATTCCCTTCTCTCTTTTCTTCCTTCAGTCAGCTTTGCTTACCACTTGCTGGTAATTTCTAAAGGATGGGGCAGCACGGAGAAATTCCACTCTAGTCTATTTGGCCACATGTTAGTGGCTCTGTTAAAAGTTTGTTTAACTTCTTTGCTGAAGGAAGTTTAAAGCAAGAGGTCAAATGAGATTTGGAAAGAATCTGATTTCTTGTTTCTTCTGCTCCCCTGATGACAGTTGGCTGTGCCAATGATCAGTCATGCAAATACTTAAGCAAAAAAACATAATCCACCCCCCAACACATACACCAAAGAACGGTTATGAATATTCTGTTTTGCATTGTCTTTCATTACTTTTGGGGACTCAAAGCCTTAAAGAACCCCAATAGGGCTCTAGGAAGGGAGGAAGGACAGAAAGAAAACCATGGTGGTTTTCATGGTGAAGACCATGGTAGTGATATCACACTGTTCTGACCTTTCGCGACTAAGAAGCAGTTACCTGTTGCTCTTCCTTTCTTCAGAGGAGCCCCTTCTCCCCATGGAAGGGCTTAGGCTGGGCAGGAGGGACATTTCTGTCACCTGGACAGGATTTGTGAAGTTTGCTGGGGAAAATGCCCGTCAGTATTAAGTGCCAGTTATTAGGCTTTCAGAGCACAAAGGCCAACAAACATTCACCCAGCAGTTAGTAAACTCCTGGGGGCAGCTTGGGGCTGGGCGGTGGGGAAGGGATGATTAAAACTCTGCCCTTGCCCTTGAACAACATGTCCCCAATAAGGAATCAGTTAAATGACTACCACTTTCCCTTTGGAGCTTTGTCCTCTCATGTGCATGAACTTGGGACCGCATTTACCATTTTACCGGTGGGGGAACTGAGGTGCGACGTCAGTGTTCCGATGAGGACTTCCTGCCCTGTGTTCGTTCTGTTGGGATGCACGTACCCTTTCCTGTGTTTCTCATGGCAGCAGAGTTCTGTGACCCTGACCACCCCAGAAAACAATAACCATCTCCCTTCACTGGCTGAGGTTTTCTTCTTACCTTCCCCATTTCAACTTTTTCTGTTAAGGAGAAACCCAGGACCCAAACTGGTGCCTTAGGATCTTGGTCTTTCTGCCAAACCCAAGTCTGAAGGCAGCTACAGGCGATTTGGGAAGGGGCTCCATTTTTCGAGATGTCACATCGGTGCGGTTCACCATTGCTTCCTGGAATTACATGGATAAGTGCTAGAGCTTCATTTGGAAAAAAATATAGTTCTTCGAGACCTAGATAGAAGCTGCCTTAAAAGAAAAGCTTTTAAAAGAGAAAGAAAAAGATTAAAAGTATGTATGGGTAATTAGCACTTTAAGGTTGTTTGGCACCATTTTGGACATTCTTTAGCTTAGACCAGGGCTTTGAATTTTGGGTTTTGACATTTCTTTTAATTTATTTTTTCATTGGGGAACAGTGTATTTTTTCAGGACCCATCCGCTCCAAGTCAAGTAGTTGTTTCAATCTAGTTGTCGAGGGCGCATCTCAGTGGCCCATGTGGGGATTGAACTGGCAACCTTGGTGTTATGAGCAGTGCGCTCTAACCAACTGAGCTAAAATGCCTGGTTTTGACATTTTTGTCAATTTACATTATGGGGACAATTTTTTATTTATTTAATTTGTTATTTATTTTTCAAAGATTTTATTGGGGAATTGGGGGAGGTGAACAGAGAAGCTACTGTCCTTTTTTGTTCTTCAGTCTATTTGTGGAGGACATCGCTTCACTGGCCCATGTTGGTTTTATCATTGCACTCTTCCCTGGTGAGGCAGATAGGTGCCGGCCACCAGATGGCTGCTCACTGCAGCTCTTGGCAGCTCACGCTGGCTGCTGGCTGCTCACGGCAGCCCACGGGAGCCCACTGCAGCTTCACTGCAGCCCACGCCACCGTCGCCGGCAGCACACAGCTGGCCAGCTCTAGGCTGAGCTGTCGTTCACCATCTCAGCTGCAGAGGGCGCAGTGTCACTGGCCCTCATGTGGGATCCGAACCGGGGTCCCACCACCCAGTGCTGGCGTCCCAAGCCAACTCCCAATGAACACGCCACTCGGCCGGCTTGGGACAATTTTTTAAAAAGGAAACTTTTAAGAATGTTAAATGATGACCTTGAGTAAAGTGTGCGTGCAGGGTTCGCAGTACATGCTGAATAAATACTCATCGCCGTTCTTTGTCATTCTTCCCTAGATGTCAAAGCCCAAGTTCTACGTGCTGTCCATGTTCCCTTACCCTTCGGGCAAGCTGCACATGGGCCATGTGCGCGTCTACACCATCAGTGACACCATTGCACAGTTCCAGAAGATGAGAGGGATGCAGGTAAGGGAAGGCCTGCTGGAACGGCTCTTTTCTGCCTCATTCAGGACAATTAGAATGTAATGTGTGTTCAAGGCAAGTGGTGAAAACCAATTTTAGTTAAGATGAGGACAGCTTTGGAGATAAACGTGAAAAGCTCAGTGTTTCCTTTTATGAATTGGAAGACATTAGAATGAAGCTTCTAGATTAATTGGGGGGGGATAGCCATGTGTTGGATGCTGTGCTAGGGATGGAGATGGGGTGGGGGTGGGGGGAAAGGTAGCCACAAATATGGGTAACACGTGATGTCTCCCCAGGAGCTAGTTTGCAGCCTGGTGAGGGTAAAACGCATAAATAGATAATCACATATAGGGGGGTTAATCCAACAGTATGAATAGGGATCAGATGTTGTGAGTAGGAGGTGGGGCCACAAGAGATTTCTCTGTTTGTATTTGATATTTTCTGTATTCTCTAAGGAGCATGTATTTATTTCATAATAAAAAAAGTAAAATTTTTGTAAGAGAAAATATTTGGGGAGCAACAGCTCTGGGGGAGTTGGGAAAGGCTCCACCAAGAGGGACCACCTGACATGGATCTGAAGGGGAGAGGAAGGAGGAGGAGAAAGACCCTTCATTGGCTGATGGGGGTCAGTTCCATTCACCCCGCTGCCAGTTACCCCAGAGCCTGCTCTTTATTCTTTAGTGACACATCATCTGTCCAATGAGGTGGGAATAATCATTGTACTTCGTTTAACTGCTTAGAGAGAGGCGGGATCATAGAAGGGCTGAGAGCATGGGCCACTGACCCAGATTGCTAGAATTTGAATACCAGCTCTGAACACTTCGTTTCTGTGTGACCTTTGATGAGATACTTAATTAACCTCTCTATAAGACACAGTTTTCTCTCACCTGTGAAGTGGAGATAAAATAGTACTTGCCTATTGGCCTGTTACAAGGATTCAAAGAGGTGACTATGAGGCACTTGGCACATACGTGGCTCATAATAGTAACCAGTAAATATTAGCGCTGCCAGCGGAGGGCTAGAGCCTGCCCATACCAGCTCCCGGGAGCCCACTGTGCATCTCTGCCCAATTCTGTCTTTATCAGTCACCTTAGTAGCTTAAAATCCAACATGCTGGGGGTACTTACACCATGGAAATCAGCAAACACTACAAATCGCTTTTTCCTCCAGAGAGCTGGTTGCTAGACATTACCTGACTCTCCCACTGGCTATTGTTAATCTGTCCGGGTCTGTACAGATGAAATCTGCCACCTCCCTGGTCTTTGTAAAGGTTTTCTTTTAGAAAGATAAGTGCATCCTTGTCACAGTTGGTTTGAAAATTTATGCCGAACTGACTGACATTAGCAGCAAGAAGTATTCCTAAAAAGGAAGTCAAGTTACCACGTCTCTTTGTCACTTGAAGAGTTAATAACTTTGTGCTATCAGATTCAGAGATTTGTGTTCTACTTTAAGATGGCCAAAGGTGTTTGTCTCCCTGGTTTATGCCAGATGTCATTTCCCCCAGACATTGCTTTCCATCATTTCTGCTGTGTTTATTAGAAAGAGGCGGTGTGGAATGAATTGGCTCTTTGCCTGAAATATAATTCTTTAACTGTGATTCTCCAAGTCGATTTATCTTACACTTTTATTTTATTTTTTTTTACTTATGCCAACTTATTTTGGACAATTAGTGAATATAGGCAAATCACTGAAGATTAAGCTTTTACAGCAAAACTACATGTATGATAAGGCGCAGAGAAGCCCTTTGGCAGATAGGTGGTTGAGGGGGTGGAGGAGGGGATTCTAACGTCCCTGGATGGATGAGACGTTACAGAGAAAGCTCAAGGCAGAGTCCTAGACCAAGATGTCCTGGGACTCTTGTAGGCAGCTCAGGCTCATAAGATAACATGGAGTTGCCTACAGTAACAGAGGCCCAAGGTCAGACTGGACCCAGGAGTTGGACAACCTTTCTAGCTGAGTGATATTGCACGTCACTTAGTGTCTCTGAATCCCACTTTCGTCATCTGTAACATAGGGATAACAGTAATTCTTCCCTCACGGGGTGTTGTGCAGGTTACGTGAGTTAGTACATGTGTCTGGCCCATAACAAGTCCTTAATAAGTGGTAGCCGTGATTACTATTTATACTGATCTGATTTACTCTGGGAAGTCATTCATCACCATTTATTTTGTTTTTTACTTTTCAACAAACAACGAATATTTATTGAGCGCCAATTATGTGCTAGACTTTCACCACCATTTAATAAATGAATCCCTGCTCTCCTCTGCCTGGAGCCCACTGCATGGAGCTGCCTTCTGAGAAGCAGCTTGATTGCAAATCATTATCTGTAATTTGTATTATTTCCCCTACGATTTGATTGGTGCCTGAAACCACTACGTGCTTTTTGGCTTATGGTCTTAGTCGGTGTGAGCAGCAAGCAGGCGCTTAGGGTTCTCTTGATTCCTCAATTTCAGTTGCTCTGGTTAAGATGATAAGCTGTCTTTTTGGGGTATCCTCCAGGTTTCCTTGAAATTAATTACTTGTTAAATTTCATACCCCACATTTAAGTCAGATCACCCCCAAATTTAACTGCCAAATTTGGTGACAATGTGTCCTACCATTTTCAAGTGATACAGCAAAAGAGAAACAAAAATCTCTGTAATCGTCAACATTGTACAAGCCTGTTCAGCTGCCTCTTGTTTTAAAATCCTCCTTTCCCAATGTCAGGATAAGTCTTGACATTGGATTCAAGTCAAGTGTAATAATCCTCACTCTAAGGAAGGAAGGAATAGCTAATCTTTAATAACAGGGTCTGATACATGTATTGATTAAGTCATTCAATAGTCATTGTGCACCAGCTTTATTCTAAACACTGGCTTTCTACTGTATTATATAGAAATACAGTTGACCCTTGAACAACGCAGGGATTACGGGCGCCAACAACCCCCCAGCGCAGTCGAAAATTCAAGTATAACCTTTGAGTCCCCAGAAACTTAACTACAGTTGTCTCTCGGTATGCATGGGGGCTTGGTTCAAAATCAGTCAGTGGACCTAAGAAAAATTCAGCAAGCTTTGCCTCTTTCTACAACTTGTTAATTTGATGGTTGGTTTGCTTTGTTCTTTTTTTTTTTTTAAAGATTTTTTTTGGCGGGGGGAACTGGGGGGATGGGAACAGTGCTGGGGAATTGGGGGAAGGGGAACAGACAAATTGCTGTCTTTTTGTTCTTCAGTCTAGTTGTGGAGGACGTTGCTTCACTGGCCCAAGCTGGCACCATCATTGCGCTCTTCCCAGGCGAGGCAGATCAGTCGCTGGCTTCTGGACGGCCGCTCACTGCAGCTGCTGGTCGCTCACGCTGGTTGTTGGCTACACACGGTATAGCCCATGGCAACCCACTGCCACAGGGGCTGCAGCCTACACCGTCGCCGGCAACTCATAGCAGCCTAGCTCAAGGTTGAGCTGTTGTTCAGCATCTTAGCTGTGGAGGGCAGTGTCACTGGCCCTCATATGTGGGATCGGAACCGGGGCCCTCTGGCATCCCAAGCCAGTTCTTAACCATTGCGCCACTCGGCCGGCCCGGTTTGCTTTGTTCTTGACTAGAGATTTGCAAGGTAATTCTAAGGTACACTAAGAAATAGCATTATGGGAAGTGAAAAAACATGGGAGTGACCCGTGCACCAAGTCTGCTCCTTTCAAGGCCACCAGTGATCTCCATGGACGGATCTCTGGCTTCACCTTTCTCATCCTCAGCAGCACGTGATACTGTAGACTGTTTCCTTCTCCTTGAAGCACTTTGTTCTCTTGGCGTGATACTCTACTCTCCAGGATTTTCTCCTCCCAATTTACTCCACAGGTTTTTCCTGCTCCACTCCACCTTTACACATTATCAGGCTGAGAAAGTTCCCCTCTATTCCTAGTTTGCTGAGAATTTTTATGATGAATTGGTGTGGATTTTTGTGAAATGCCTTTTGTGCCTCTGTTGTCTTTTGGAGACGATCTGTGGTTTTTCTTTAATCTGTTAACGTGATGTTTTATGTTGATTGATTTTTAAAAAATATTAAACCAGCTTGGTGTTCCTGGGACAAATTTCATTTGGCCATGATGTATTTTTTTTATGTATGTATGGCTCTATTCAATGTTTTAATATCCCTATGTGCATGAGAGAGTCTGATCTGTAATTTTCTTTTCTTGTAATGTGTTTGTCTGGTTTTGATATCAGGGTTCTGCTGGCTTCATAAAACAAGCTAGGAAGTGTTCCCTTCCTATTTTCTGAAAGCATTGTATGTTATTGGTATTATTTCTTCCTTTATTGTTTAATAGCATTCACCAGTGATGGCACCTGGGAAGTTTTAAAATTACAAATTATAATTCTTGACTGGAAACAGCACTATTCAGATCTTCTGTTTCTGCATGTTTTACGTTGTCTTTTTCAGTGAATTTGTCCAACCTGCCTCAGATTCTGTTCTTCTTATTTTTTCTGCCTTCGCATTTTTTCTCTGTCTACTTTCCCAGGTAGTCTCATCTATCCCCTTTACTTTAAATATGATAATCTTTAAAATGATAAACATTTCCAACACAGAAGTACAGAGAACATTATCACAAATACCCAGTCCTGCCTTCCCGATATAATAGATATTGCCATTTAATCAGATTAACCTCAGCTTTTCTTTTTTTAATTGTACAGATGCAGTTGTGCCTCTGCACAATGCGATTTCAGTCCTCCAGTTCAAAGTAACTCTCCGAAAGTTAGTGTATGTCCCGGCCTTCCTGTACTCGTGCTTGATCTGTGTATTGTTTAGGATACATACACATATGTACATGTTGTATTGTGTGTTTTTAATTTTACATGAAAGGTATCTTAATACTCTGCATATTGTTTCACTCGGTACTTTGTTTCAAGATTACCCTGTGTTTCTAGAGGTAGTTCATCCATGATAAGTGCCATGTAATTATGATAATATTTCATTGTCCCTTTTTGCATTGATAGAGTTTTAGGTTGTTTCACATTTTTGCTCCAGTGAACATT